CAACGTATACTCATACGGCAAAAAAGTCTATAACCCGGAAGTTGACTTCTGACTTCAAACTACCATCACCCCACTGTATGTCACAATCGACTTCTTTCACAGTACTCACCTCTCCTTTTTTCCTTCCTTGTATCTGTCCCTTTTGCATCTTTGGAACGCTCTTCTGTCCCCCCCCCCTCTCGATTTTTTTTCACTTTGATGTTCCATCCTCTCTGTGAAGCCTGAAGTCAACTAAAGTGCTAATGATAACTACCAAAAACGCCTGTCAATTGATATAAATAAATAAATGTTTAGAATATTTAAGCCATCACTAGTTCATTATATACTTGTTAATATATGTTTTTTAGCTTTTGTAACGTAATTTAAAAGTTAGTCTCAGAAGGAGCCTATGTTAGGGCGCTGGATTCAGGTGAAGGGCAGGGCGGGCGGGGAAGGGGAGGGGATAGATAAAGTGGATTTATCAGTTCATTTACTCCCCACACTTAGGGTTTAATTCTCATCTTGATTGTGATGCTACAGTGTAGGTCCTGTAACATGTTGACAATCTGAATCCTGTTCGTCGTGGACTGTTTAAATTGACTAGAGTGGGCCTGGAGTCAGTTTCCTTTAATTTTCCTCAATTTTTTTCCGTGCGATCTCAATTAACATCAATAATTATCATTTAAAATCCAAATAGTCGATTCAAGAGAAGCATAGCAATCACCAGCTACTTTGAGTGCAGGCTGGTTATTAAATTGACTTGGTCAACGAAAAAAACGAGGGATTTCTAGCTGATGACAACTTTCCGTATTCGAAGTAGTAACAGAGTCGAAATACCAGGTCATTGAACGCTGAGCTTCTTTGCATAATTTGTATGAAGCTACTCAAATGATGAATTTTTGGGATTATTTGTGAATTAAACAGAAAATAAAAAGCCGCGTGGCTACTGGGCCATGAGAGATACCAACTACAAATCGTAACGCCTTCTAAGCGAAGTCAATTAATCTCAGAGTCAACGCTGTTTTTCAAGACTATTATTCAGCAAATATATTAAACAAATAAGTTTTCTAACGCTAGTGACTTGATTGTGGAAACAAATCATTTTATAATAAATCTTTGTGCTAGAAACAAAGTGTAAAAATGGTTACTACCTCTTTTGTTATGATCATTTCTCCTTCAGATACCGACATACAGTGGGGTGATGGTAGTTTGAAGTCAGAAATCAACTGGCAGTTAATTGACTTTTTTGTTGTATGAGTATACATTGTCCAGGCTGCACCACGTGGAGGTAAGTCTATCGCACACAGCACGTTTTCGCAGAGAGAGGTCGAACCAAGTGGGCAATGAAAATGATGTCTGCCTATTGACTGCTCTTGGAACAAAGAAGCGGATGGAGGGTTTAATCACCCAGATTCAGTTCTTAAGTTGGTTGTATTGTCAAAGTAATCTTATATGAAATCCAACAGCAGAGACGAGAAATCTGTACATGTTAGATTATCAGTTTCCCAAGCCGTGCTTACTCAAGGTAACTCCTTCTCATTACATCGTTGTCTTCATTCTCTATTAAAATACCATTATCTGCAATTTAAAAAGCATATTTTACTTACGTCAAAAAATCAATTTTACCTCCACTCTTGGATAACTTCGTTGCTAAACTATTAAAGCAGTTGGGTTAATCTATTTATCTATATCAAATGGCAGGCGTTTTGATAGGTATCATAAAATGCACATCCTTAAAATATTGCTTACAGTTAAATCGTAATAAAATTTTATTTTCAGTTCTCTAAGTCAAAGTATTAGATTTTGCCAGTGTAGCGGATCGCTACGCTAGTAAAGCCTGACCGACTCAGAAATCTCTATGGCAGATTCTCCAACATCTAGCTAGACTCCCAGAACAAGCTAAGCTATGGCCCAGTTATAAGGGAAACAGACATGTAGCCCGGAATACGTTTATTCGGAACGTATATTGAGAGCGAAGTGCCGAGTTTGGCAAAGCGATTAGTTACCAGATAACTCTAGCATAATTCATATGAACATTTATTTATTTATTTCAAATGGCAGGCGTTTTGATAGTTATCATTAGCCCTTTAGCTGACTTCAGGCTTTACAGATGGGAAGGAACATCCAAGTAACAGAAAGTCGAGGGGTGGAGAACATAAGAGTGATTTAGAGATGTAAAGCGACAGACATGAAGGTAGAGAAAAGGTAGGATGAGTACTGCGCCAGAAGTCATTCGCCGGNAAGGGGATAGACAGACACAAAGGTGGAGAAAAAGTAAAGGTGAGTACTGTGAAAGNCAGTTGGGTTAATCTATTTATCTATATCAAATGGCAGGCGTTTTGATAGGTATCATAAAATGCACATCCTTAAAATATTGCTTACAGTTAAATCGTAATAAAATTTTATTTTCAGTTCTCTAAGTCAAAGTATTAGATTTTGCCAGTGTAGCGGATCGCTACGCTAGTAAAGCCTGACCGACTCAGAAATCTCTATGGCAGATTCTCCAACATCTAGCTAGACTCCCAGAACAAGCTAAGCTATGGCCCAGTTATAAGGGAAACAGACATGTAGCCCGGAATACGTTTATTCGGAACGTATATTGAGAGCGAAGTGCCGAGTTTGGCAAAGCGATTAGTTACCAGATAACTCTAGCATAATTCATATGAACATTTATTTATTTATTTCAAATGGCAGGCGTTTTGATAGTTATCATTAGCCCTTTAGCTGACTTCAGGCTTTACAGATGGGAAGGAACATCCAAGTAACAGAAAGTCGAGGGGTGGAGAACATAAGAGTGATTTAGAGATGTAAAGCGACAGACATGAAGGTAGAGAAAAGGTAGGATGAGTACTGCGCCAGAAGTCATTCGCCGGTTAATAGACTTTTTTGCCGTGTGAATATACGTTGCCCAGGGTGCACCACGTGGAGGTAAGTCTATCACGCACCCCATTCATATGAACATTAATAGCTAAATATTTCTGAGTAATATTCTTCAGGATTTCTATTTGGTCATTGATGGCGTGTCCCACACCAGTCCGTTAAAAGAATTTTTACTCAAATTATTACCAGAAGTTCGCAAATACTGCACAAATAAATTTTCCTTCATTCAGTAGCTTTAGTAAATATAACTGCTAGCATGAGCAAACCATTTGTTTCATTTTCATACTGGGAATATAATTATATGCAGAAAGCACCGGATACCTGATCAATCATTTAATATGTTATAAAAATTGACAGAATTGATTAGGTGATTTTTTTCAATATTTCCCTTAAAATTTAAGTCAATGATTAACGCATGCAAAATTTTAAAGGCAAGGATTAAAAGGGTCAACTAGTTCTTTCTATTAACAACCCAGAGGTCATATAGAAACAAAGCGGGACACTAAAACGGCCCATTTGTAGGTTAACTCCTCGGAACCAGCAATAACACTTTGATTTAACTACTTTAACAAAATTTAAGCGATTTATTTCTAGAATTTTTATGTTTTCAACATATGCACACACATATATATCATAATTAATCTAAGAATCTGGAATTGTCAATAGTTCATGCAGACTTTTTTGTCTTAATCTTAATGATATCTCATCTTTTCATTCTAAAGCTTAAAATTAAATATTAATTGACCAAATTTTATTTCAGATCTGATAACAATGGATAAATGGATGACAAATCTGCCTGAAGATGTAACTTATGTTCCTCTATTCAAACTTAATATCCCCGGTGAGTTATTATTTTCATGTCAATAGTTTATTTATTTCGATATTTGTTTCCGAATTACTTATTGGCTTATAATAGCGTATATTTACTTGTTGAGAATATTTAGTTTTATATTTTCTAAATTGCCCCGAGACTTCCAATTTTCTTTCAGACTACATTGAGCCGAATTTTCAGAAACTGTCTGTGTGGAATTAATTTCGATTGTGATAGAAATATTTAAAGTTTATTCTCTACCTGTTTCTGAAGCACTTAAATGATTGAATAGAATTTACTATATTTAAAAGTTTCTGCGAACATTTTCTTCGCTTTCGATTACTTCCAGTCGTAATATTTCAACCTTCTGACTATTTATTGAGTGGTGTCATTTCAATCATGTCATGACACGTGTTAAAATTATCTATACTCATTTCACATTCCACATATGTGAAAGAGGTGCCGGTTAACCTTAAGCGTCTATTCTGCTTTGTATCAAATTCTATTTTTACCTCCCTCTTGGGTAAGGTGAGAGTATGGGGGAGGTTTCGGGTTTGAAACCATCAATGTCCTTCCAAGTAAAACAAACACTAGAATACTATGAAGGGTAGTGGGCAGAAATGGTGATAGAGAATTAATATTTTGGAGAGGACAGAGGGAAGACGACAGCTTTGGTATTAAGTACTTCATGGGAAACTAAGTCATAGAGTAAAACTCGAAAGGCTTGTTGGTAAAAGTGATAACCAGCTTAAAGATCATTAAAAATAATAGACGCAACGGAGTGAGTTGAATCGATGATCAAATCCAGGCAATTTTTAAGTATAGAGCACAAAGTAGGTTGAAAATACACCTAACGTATCATTTGCTATATTAAATAGTCGAAAGGGCGTAAACAGATTATAATTGAATATGTTGACTCACTTTCAATAATTAAAGGAAGGACTAAAGATAGAAAGGTGGCCACAAAGTTTTAATCGATACAGTTTTTAGGCTTCCAAGGTCAAAGTATTTTCAACATGGACAAGTTTGATTTAAGAAAAACGAAAGCTGAAATCACCCATATTGCTATGTAGTATGTCACTTCCGGATGATAGTGTAATGAATTTACTAGATACAGGTTCATTCATTACAGTGTCTATTTATGGAAAGTATAGAAAACGCCTGCCCAATTGGGTATTACTTCCGCATTATTACTTCAAGTTTCAAAGTTTTAAATTTAATCCTCAGAATGGATTATTCAGTGTGTTGAGAGTGGAAGGTTTGAATGTCAAGTCCGTTCATCTGTCTTCATAGATTTAGAGCAAATTGATTGACATTATCTACTTTATATATTTGCAAATTTATCAATGGATATCTTTCGAAGTGAACTATATAACGCAACATTTGCTCTTATCTTACTTTTTCATTTGTATCAGGTTCTCATGATTCCTGTTCCTACTGTATCGATGCCAAATGTGATTTATCTGAAGACAACGAAGCATTTCCCATTTTGAGGCTATTGGGCAATTTCGGTAAAGCCATATCTTCACAATGGGGTCGAACCCAGGACGCCAATTTGTCTGAACAGCTTTCAGCAGGTATCCGATATTTTGATCTACGTGTAATGCGTCGTCGATCCGATGGTCTCTTCTACTTTGTACACGGACAATTTGCCAAAACGCTCTCCACAGAATTACTCACCATTCATTCATTTCTTCAAGACCACCCCAAAGAGGTAGTTATTTTGGATTTCAACCATCTCTATTGTTTCTTTCATCCAGACGATCTTTCGGAGTTCATCGCCGTCATTATCTCGGTATGAGAAACACGAAATCTCAATATTAATCCATTATTGCTTTGATCTGAGTCTTCCGTACAGGTTTTTGGATCAATGTTGGCCCCAAAAAGCGATCGAATTCCATGCTTAAAAGACCTCTGGGAGAAAGGACACCAAGTGATTTGTCTACTTCATGAGATTTCGGAATATGTGGAGATGTGGACCCCAGATAAAATATCCTCTCCCTGGCCTAATACAGTTGACTTACAGAAGCTCATGTGCTTCATTAACTCACATCCCCCGTAAGTCTGACTAATTTTAATCAGTGTCATGGTCTTCTTAGAGTGGGAGATAATCAATTCCACGTAACTCAAGGAGTTCTTACACCGGATAAGGACTATGTGGTGGCCAATATGAATTCCAACTTGTCGGTTTTGGCAGCTCCCGCAAGTGAGCAAGTTATTAAATGGATTGAAGAGAAGGTTACGAGGAATCAAAGGAATATAATCATTATTGATTTTGCTGTGAAAACGTATCCCAAGTTTGCTGAAGTTGTGATCAAGTTGAACCTAACATGATAGATTTTCGATTTTTTTTCTCGTCTCCTGGTGAATTTTTTTTCACTAACTTAGAAATATTTTTACGATTCTCTCCTAATAAATCTTAGTTTTTCCTTCGTTTTTTTCTTACATTGGTGTAGCTATCGGCATAAATTTTTATAGCTTTCGTGATGAGGCATATAATATGTTCGAAATGAGATAGGCAATTTTATTTTGGTGGTTTTTTGTAAACTCAATTTACAAGAGGAGCTTTAAAATTTTCAGGATACCATTGAGTCCATTTCTGATTTGAAATTAACCCACGTCGTGCTGCCGTATCATGGCGCACATTATAGATTTTAAGATCCTCGAAATTGTTGCCAAAGTTCTTTCAAGAAATAATGCCGCAAGGTTGGCAGTCAATTTACCACCAGAAACGAAGTTTTTGGGAAAGAGCGGAAGTTGCGGTTAAGAGCATTTATTGACTGGCTGGTTGAATTGGGAAAGAGGATATGGATCCCTTCGAATAGAAAATATGGAGGAGTATCAATTACATTTGAAATGTCTCCTCCACTTGAAAAGAATTATATGTCCATCAAACGCTTCGTGAGGGCTTTTGATCTACTATTTGCCAATATATAACTGTCATATGTTATTATTATTGTATCAAATGGCAGGCGTTTTGATAGTTATCATT